TGCCTTCCTAGGGACAGCACTAATCTGTTTTCTTTGACAGATTAATCCAAGGCCCCGTCTGTAACTGTTTCTGTAGAATGCATACCAATAAAGCTTTTTCTTTGGGCTTTTTTGTATAACAGAAGGATTTCTCTCTGGTTTATTCTGTTCCTAGCTTCTCTGGAGCTTTCTGGGGACACACAGGATTAGTCCAGCTAGAACTGCACAATGGGTTATCTGGTTTCTGACAGTGTCTGCTTATGGCCATGTGACCTTGCTGCAAGGAGCTTCAGGGAACAGCTATTGCTTTTGTGTGCGTGTGATCCCAGCGACTGATCATTTTGTCCTGTAGCATGAGGATCGCTGAGCTTGTAACCCTTATCCTAGCTAATACGGCTGTGGATGTTGTTTCACCATGCAAACATCCAATCCCTTTCTAAAACCTACTAAGCTATTTGACTCGCTCTCCTGTTCTTGTGAATAAGTTAAAGCCTTCTCTGCTGTAACTGGAAACCAACTATTGTGTTGTAGGCTATTAGTCGTATGCATGCTGAAAACCAGAGCCTGCTTTTTTTTTTTTTTGTCAAATACCAGTACAGCCTAAAAGCAGTCTGTGTGCTCAGCAGAGGCCTGTGACCAGATGCCTTACATGCAGAGGCAGAACTGAGTTTTCTACTAGTGAATTTGTTCCCCGGATGGTAAAATTAAGGACCTAGCTCACCATGCCATATTCATATTCTGACCAGAGTCCATGTGCTACAATAACTGGATTCCCTTTACACAGTCTTGGGAATCTGATCCTGACTGGGAAGCTCGTGTCACGGCCAGTTATCAGCTATGTTAAATTCTGTATTTCTTTAAAAGCAGCCCATGACATGCAGTTTTTTTTTTTTTTTGTACTTGCAACTTTATCACTTCATCCAGAATTTATCACTTGCTCTCAGCCAGGCCACCCAGATTATCACACTGGGAATGCAGAAGGTTTGTACATATCTCTTCTTTCTTTCCTGGAAGCTTCTAAAATAATGAAGTGTTCTGTGAATGCAGAGGGCAGACAAAATTTGAATTTTCTGTCTCTTGGAGTTACTGCCCCTGGTGCAGGGACTCCTAGAAGATCTAATTTTACAGCAGCCCTTGTTTCTGAACGTTTAGCAGGATCAGCCAAGCAGGGGTTGCCATAGAGATAAGTTTCCCATCCCTTTCCCTTGAAAAAAGAGCTGATCATACTTATTTTCTTGGCACTCCTGGTACCCTCACTCTCTGATTGCTGGGTATATTGGTCTACATTCTGGCAGCAGTGCGAGTTAAGCTGCCATTTCTAGTTGTTCTGAGTCACTGGGCAGGTGGAGAGAGGGGAATAGGCTTCTTTTCCCCTTTGCCTTGTTTGCTCGGACAGCGCTGGGGAGAATGCCAAATGCTGCTGGTGCTCAGATCAGTTCAACGCCACTGCCTTTCTGCTACCTTTAGAGCATGGATGGGACATTGCCCTAAAGCTGCTAATTCAGAAAGGGTAATGGATACAGTTGGTGTGGTAATGATTTCTATTCACCAACATATCAAACCCAGCCAAGGCCCCTAGAAAAGTGCAATATTTTGTATGGAAATAGAGATAAGCAAAACTAAACTCACTGAAATAGCACTGATCCAGTGGAAAGAGATTTCCTGACAGTACTGGAAACTAAAACACATACTAAAAGGGCAAGCTTCCCTGGGGAAATAAAAGGGGACAACAAATGTCCTGCTGCTGTCTGTCTGCCAAGCCCTGGAAGGGCCTCGTCAGACGGCAGAAAGTCTTAAGCAGCCTGACTCAGGCTGTGTGCTGTGGAACGCTCGCACGGCAGCTGCAAGGAAGGGCGGGAGGGACGCTGCGTCTCTGTAGCGGCTGAACCCCCGTGGTGCTGGCTGCGAATCCTAATTACGTGGAGCTAAACGTGTTTTCCTGCTGTTACTTTTCTAGACAGGGTTACTGGTTGGTTTTCTTTTTATCAAAAGGATGTTATGCCATAAGTTTAAACAAAAAAATCCCTTTATTTCAAATGTTTACACTGAGGGAAAAAACATGACAACTCTTGGCCTATTAAGTAATTGGCCTCTTTGTTGCCAGTACTAACAAGGCATCCATAGGTTCTGATGCATACAGATGTTCCCTGCTACACGCCCCTTCAGATCAACTACCTGCCAGGGGTGATAACTTACCAGCAAGCTCAGCAAACAGCTCTGTAACGCACCTCCAGTCCATTGAATCATCTAGACCTTGCCTTGACAAAGCCCTCGAGCCTGAAGCATTACCCTTTTAAAAAACTGAAGGTAGGTAAATGTCTTGAGTTTACCTGTGAGCTTTCCCTGGGGGAGTTGCACAAATGAAATCCTGCTGCTGAAAGCTTATCTTCAGAGGAGCTGTTATCTTCTCATTATGGGGATCAGCTGGAGATGTTGTTTTGCCTATTTCAATAGCAGGAAAGAATTTTTTCATTTCCTTGAGGTTGTCACGTGACTTGAATGTAAAGCGTATTCAGGCTATGGGAGTGTTAATTATGCCCAATTATAACCTGACTGCCCTTCCTTGGCATTAAATAACCCAGCAGAACTAGCTCTGTCGTGGCGGCTCGGAGATTCCTGTGCTCTCCGTGTGCATGTGATTCAGGAGCTTTGCTTTGACGTAATAGCCAAATGGTCGAGAATGCAGGAGCGGATACTATGACAGAATTCCTCCGCGTGCATGTGTACAAGTGCAACCAGATAATTAAAGGAACACGGTCAAGACACAAGTATTTTAAAGACTTCTAACGTGTAACACCCTTTTAGTAACACCTTAGTGAAACAACAACAGCATTTTAGAAATGTAATTGCCTTTTTTTTTCTTAATGCTGCTAGAAATAGCCCTGTCGTTTTAATTTTCCTGATCTTTGGCTGGCAGCACGATTTTGTTTCCAGCAAAGCAAGGGAGCATTTGAAAAAAAAGGCATTCTCTTGTAACGATATTCATTTTAAACTCGAAGCGATGGAAATAACGCTGCTCATAATAGCTCTCATAAATCTTCTCGTTCTCTCTCCCCTCTTCCCCTACAGGAAAAGTTAAGAAAGAAAAAACGTTACTTGTTTATTTAACTGGTGAAAAGACCAGCAACGATGGCTGTCAAAGCCCTGCGTCTAGAAAGGACAATATAAATAGATTTCTCGCTGCACAGCCTTGCCTGGGTTCAAAAGAAGTGCATCCAATTCCATGGCAAAAGCAATACCTCAGGTAAAGCATTCCTGAGTGAGGGAGCGTAAACAAATCCCAGAAAGATCCAGAGGATCTTTGTGGGGAAAAGGGCAAGGGAGGAACTTTATACTTTTTGTTGG